CACACCCACACTGACTACAGAGCTCTCACTGCATAGTGCTGCATATACACACTGACTACAGCACTCTCACTTGCATGGTACTGCACACTGACAATGCTTTCATTGTACAGTATTGCGCACACACTGACAGCATCTCAGCTTCTCAGTTAGAGTAAGTTGAAAATGTATTTATATATGTGGTAAAATGTTGTTAGAGCAATTGTAAAACAAATAGAAAGAATAGTGTGCAAATAGAATATCTACAGTCTATACTACAATTCTTCTTCTTCTTTTTCACAGCCTCAGTCCCAGACTGTCCTGGGGTCAGCTGCTTTGGTTGCTCTTCTCCACTTGTCTCTGTCGAGCACATCTTCCTCACTCACTTCACATACCTCCATATCTTTTCTCACACAATCTATCCATCTCTTTCTAGGCCTGCCTCTCCCGCTGTTACCTTCCACCTCAAATACTACAATGTATAATAAAATATACAGTTTTTTGGCATTTTTAAAAGAGTCGTTATGCATTTTTTTAGATCTATACTATTTTGTGCAGTAACATTGCATGGTTCCAAGCTGACAACCTCTGTCAGAGGTGGGGATGGTTTCAGTACTCTAGCAATGCTAAGAGAGACTGGACATCTTTTAACTGCAGTGCCTTGGGTACACGTGGCCATGATCAAGTCCTTTCTTACTACGGATAATTCACAGCTAATGACACCAACATCTCATGAATCCATACTCTTTCAGTATGTGTATGCAGCACTGTGTTCAGATATAAATTCACTCTGTCTAGCATTATACGGTAAGTGTGAATAGTTTACCAAGTCATTCTTGGGAATTACATATGGTTTTTGTTGCTGCCTGAATGCTAGGTCTTATTCACCTTTGATTACAGCTGAAGGGCCTTTGTGCACAGAGACCAGTTTTGATTTAGAATGAAAGTTATTTAATGAGGGTAAGAACCCTGTTGACATGAGGTGTAGCAGTCTGTGTAAGAAAAAAGCACCCCTGTGCTTCTGTAGGCTTGGGAGTGGGAATAAGGCAGTAGGCTGGATGACTCAAGGACTTATGTCCTGGGGCCAGACATCAGTCCCAACGCTCTCCATCTCTGGAATACATTACCCTGGGTTTTCTGGATCATGATGTTATGAAAAAGCTTGTAAGGATTACAGTGTATTTTCAAATGATTTGAACAGTTGGAGGTCTAAGGAGCTCCATCACTACAGTAAACCACCATTCTGATTTATAGTTTCATGCACTCAACGAAGGAATATTTTCCTGAGTCGTAATTGTTAGTTGTTACCCAGCTGTAATTGGCCCTGTCCCACCATCACTGTCAGTAGGACCCTTGGTTTAAGGTTTTTGTATTCTTCGCTCTGGGACTCTGTTAAAGGTCCTTCAGCCAGATGTCTTCAGCCTCTTTGCTGCTGTAGATCCAGTGTCTGTGGGGCTCATGGCTGTTGTGTGAAGCAGAGATGCATGTTCACATTAAATGGCATAGCACTGTTATTTCTTGTGAAGCCATCTGATTCTCATTCTTGTGCATACACAGGCAGGGCTGAGCTAGGTTGATCTCTTCTTATAAGAAGCTGTTGGTTTCATAGACAGAAGCTGCACTGCATTATTTTTTAGTGTAGTATAGAATTTTGCAGATAAACAAAAACAAACACAAGAGTAATTAAGAGCCATCAGTGGAATGTCAAAGACCATGCAATTACCCAAACTCTGGGCTCTTTTCCTGTGTGTGTTACTGCCCATTTCAACACGGGCGGCCTGATCTGTGACTGGGAAAGGACTCCTCTGGTTCTCCCTGTCCCTGGTGGTTCCACACACTCTGACTGGTCTGTCAGTTGCCCCTATACTGTCCTATCGAGTATGCCGAGCACTGGGAGAGATTCCCAGAGTACTCAGGCTCCCTGTTACCTGACAGAAATAATGGCCCTGCTCCAGCTGCTCGTCCTTGTGTGAGCCTCACAGGGGCTTGGGCATGGACTGTATGTTTTGGAGGGTGGTGCTGATTTAAAATGCCTCATCTCTCCTGATTGTGCTTGAATGTCACCATGAGGCTGTAAAGTTTAAAAAAAATATTCTGTCATTTCCTCTTCTCTGATGATATGGTGGATACTCAGAGCTTGAGCCACAGCCTTGTGTGGCCTGCTGTTTTAATAGATCAACATGGAACTGATGGCAATACATAGTTGTTAGGGCTGTATGGAAGGTTTTAGGGTCCCCTTGCGGACATTGTTCTTATTTCTAAAACAAGCTACTTTACCCTAAAAGCTCCAGTTGTCCCAGCTGTCTAAAAGGATACCCACATGGTTGGGTGTGATCCTCTAGGGGACCTGTGACACATCCAGGGGAACATCATGCTATGTGTCTGCTTAACACTATAGAAACTGGAATAAGCTCCAGCCTGATGAGCCTCTAAGGCTTGAGTAATAACTTCACATTTTGACTTTAAATTGTGTGATTGGTGTGTTGACTTTACTTGTCTGCAGTTGTTATCTCTTTCACAGATTTCAAATGGTGCACTTTCTAACCACTGTGTGCACATAGACACACCTGGAGCGCCTTATTAAGTTAATATTTTCTAAGCACATGATCATTTATAATTTTAATATTGAAAATGAGCAATATTTTTTTTGTAATCTAAGATATGGCAGTTTATTAAAAATCCTCAATAATTCCATTAGAATTTAAAGTTAAGTTAAATAGACTTGATAGTTTCTCCTGGATTCCCAAAACTTGCTGTGGTTTTGCCATCCTACCAACAGAATCATTAATTGAATTCTGGCTCTGTGGCTCAGGATCTGGGCCTGTGGCTGGAAGCTTGATGTTCATATCCCGCAGCCAGCAGAGGAATCCTAATCCGTTGGGCCCCTGAGCAAGGCCCTTAATCCCAACTGCTCCAGGGGTGCCCTAAAAATGGCTGACCCTGTACTCTGACCCCAAGCTTCTCTTCCTGTCTGTGTGTCTCATGGAGAGCAAGTTGGGGTACGCAAAAAGACAAATTCCTAATACAAGAAATTGTATATGGCCAATAGAGTGATCTTATCCTGTCTAGTGCTGAGAGAGGAGCAGGAGCCAATTGCTGGCAGCAGTTCAGTGCAAAGGGTGAAGAGTCCTAGGGAGGTGGTGTTCATTCAGTGATAGCATTGGAAGTTCAGATTTGGACCAGCACTACACACTGTGTGTGAAACAGGAACTGAAGTTTATCTAAAGTGATTGGCATGTCTCTTTATTGCATGTGCTGTATGTATTTTAGATCTGTGACCACAAGAGGCGCTGTAGGCCACTTGACGATCATCTTCTAGTACATACTGTCGTTGCTGAAAGAGTGGACACGTTAAGTTCAAGCTTTTCTTTGGAAATAAATTAATGGAAAATAGTCATTTTATTTCTTTTTATATTGGCCAACCCATTTCTTATCTTGTCTCATGAATCTCTTGCCTCAGTATGCATAAGAGTCTGGAGTACAAAGCACATATTTGGTGCTTTTCATGATTTGAACTAATAAAGCCTCAGTGTCTAACCAGTCATCACGGTTTTGTTGTCCATGTAGTATTTTTTTCTTAGACACATGGTGTCACTCACTCTGAAGGTTGCTGTGCTTCTCGCTGCACAAACTGACAGAATATCTGACAGCCATGTGCACAGGGGAAGAGGGGGGCTGGAGGGGCTCAGGCATATGGAGAATTGGCAGACTTTGAAGGCACGGATTTGCTTTCTTTCCTGTCACAGGCCGTCATGTGTTTTGAATCTTTTCAGATGTTTCTTGTTGAAGCGCCTGAGAATGGAGGCCTTCTCTGTGGTCTGGTCTGGGAAGAAGAAAACCTAAAAAAAGGAAAAGGAAAAATACTCAGTTGCAGCTGTTGGGGGAAAAACAGAGGGAGGTGGGCGATAGCCAGAGAATCCTTTTTTTGTATTTGTTTCTGTAATTATGCTGTGCTGTCTATATGGCGAGATGTCAGCTGAGTTTAATGTTGGACACCAGCACAGAGGTATCCAGTGCTGGTGACTTTTTTCTATGAGAAATCGGACTGCTGCATTATTGCCCAGGAAAGGGGCTTGAATGATGGAAGTAGAGGATCATCATCTGGTTAGGAAACCACTGTAATTTAGTGGATGTACTTTTATTTTACTTGCCCTTTTCAGTAAGTGTAGTATTGATTCAGCATTTTCTGTTCCCTCTAGGAATTGTGCTGTTATTTTCTTCCTACCAGTAATAGAAATATCTTTAAAAGATCCTTTGCACTCACTCACAGACTCTTTCCAGTTTCTGTTTCTTGATGTATAACTTTATTATTATTAGTTTTTACTTGACGTACCCAAAATGCAAGTGACAAGTGCTGAGCTTCTAGCTAGATTTGTTTGAATTAAAG